GTTTATGAAACAAAAAAAAAAAAAAAAAAAAAAAAAAAAAAAACCCTCTTAAAGACCATTCAAATAACGTGCAAAAAATATTCGCCTTTAAGAAAGTAACGGAAACTCGTGCCAAGCGGCTATTGCGAAGTCTTCTTAACGCCCTGATTTATCGAAATATCGGTTCGCCATTATGACTCGTGTGAATAAAAATCTACTTTATACGGGGTACGAAAGCGAGGAAGAGGCCATCGCACAAACAATCGCTTCAATCAAGAATCAACGACAGTTTGCCGACTAAGGAGTGGGTTGGCCCCGGGGCAATGTGTATGTATGTGCGTGCGTGCATGCGTGTTGGTGGGTGGGTGGAAGAGTCGAGTGGAGTTTGAGGAGTTTGAGGAGGAGGAGGTGAGAAGGGAGTTGAAGAGGATCGGCGAATGGTGAAGAGAAACACGAGCTGAGGAGGGTGGTAGGGAGGGCGGTAGGGAGGGGGTAGGGGGGATGACGGTGGTGGAGGAGGAAGAGGAGGACGAAGAGCCGAGGAAACGTTTGGGTACGAGTAAAGGAGTTACGGTAATATCCGGTTAATCCGGTCAGCTCCTTGGCGCATTCTAACCTGGCCTTGCGACACGCGTGCACACAGCACACGCACTTTCGAGCACATACAATATAATCGGCGCAGGTATGTTGGCATGTTGGCATGTTGGCATGTTGGCATGTTGTCATATTGGCATGTTGGCGTGTAGGTATTCATATGCCACGAGAAGCGCGCTCACCGATCGGGAGCCCCAATGGTATCGATTTGCCACTCGCTATCTCCCCTCCCCGGTATTCCGCGCGATTTGTGCCTTCGTCGCTCACGCTATCCTCCGCCAGTGTGGCTACAGATCTTTTAGACATACGGGGAGGCTCGTTGGTCCACAGTCCAGCAGCCTTCGAGGAATTTATACTTGGCATAAATGATGTATGTGCACTAGGGCTCTCGGCAACGGTCGTTTGCTTAATCCAATGTCTCGGGGACGAGTCAATGCATTGTAACGATTCCGATCGTTAATGTATGCCCCGTCCGAGATAGTGGGAGGGTCATAGAGGGAAGAATCGACGATGATTATATGGGGTTAAAAACTCTGCGTCAGCAGCTTTTAGACGCTCGCTTTCTACTCGGTAATAAACTTAATCGGTAAACGGTGGTGCTGGCATTAGTCGAGGATTGCTTTTCCTTGCGTCGAGATTATGAGAAAGGGGCGCGCAACATTGTCGTGCGAAGAGATAGAAATTGAGTTTTCCATGTTAAGGATTAATGTGCCTCAACATTATCGCGAAAACAAATAAGAAGAAGAAGAAGAAGAAGAAAATCCACATATTATACTAATGCGAAGTAATATATTCCGTAAGAATTCACTGAATAAATATGTTCTATAGGTCAGTCGTATGAGGCCGCAATTAGTTCAAGTATTTCGATAAGGGCCGTATTAAAAATGCTAATCACGCATGTTATAATTAGCTCAACAAATACTCTTGGTAAATACGACTTCTCGTGTTCCAAATCATATTCATATACCAAACGGCTCTTAACTATCGAATGATAGTCGTTGAATTTTACATAAGACGCTCGCATTAAATAGGCCTTATAATCAAATATCCGCGATTTTAAGCGAAATTTCTCTAACATGCTCCTCCCTACTTTAATAACACCATCGAAACGGAGAAATTAATGGGAGTGAATGGCCGTTTTTTTTTTGTCTCAATATGCACCGATTTTAAACTAACGAATGCTAATGGAAGTTGTGCAATGTGGCCTGCGTTGAAACTCCATGGAAACGAATAGAATGTGAATTATGGAATTATGACATTTGAATATGCAATATTATTGCTTCTCAGGCTAGAATAGTGCTTTGTGAAAGAAAGAAAGGAGAAAAAGAATTATATAAATACGAGAAAAGTAGCGAGATAGATGTGCTAATTCTGAATTTCAATAAAGATACATTAAGCCGTGTATTTTTATTCATATTCTACTTATTCTACTTATTCTGCCTATTCTGCCTATTCTGCCTATTCTGCCTATTCAGCCTATTCAACCGTTCGGTCGACGAGCACTTTGGAATTAATGAACCTGTTTACATTAATCTTGAACAGTAATTTGACGTGATATTAAGTAGACATTGCGTCGACTTCTGTTACATAATTACATTTAATAGACCATTGATTTATTCTTATTGCTTTAAAGTTATATTTAATAAATTAAATTGTAAGATACGTACCGCCACTTTCATGCGTGCATTGTTAAATTAAATACTAAACTTTAGCAAATTTACATGAATTATCGTTGCGCAATAATTCTGTGGGAAAAACGCTTTCGCAGCACAAGCATTGGTAATTTTTCTAATTGACATGCAGCCTTTGAGCAACGTGACCAATAATGAATGCCACTCAAAACATAATTGACGATCAAGCAATCAAATTGTTATCATTTCGTTTTCTTCTTAAAGCCACGAGATTAGCCATGATTTTTTAGCGCGGAAACGCAATAGGGCGCGTTGAGGAAACAGCCGGTAAATATCCAAGCCCCTGACGATCTGTCGCGACTCTTTAATGACGGACAAACTATTCCTTCGTGCTAAAAAGCCCTCGGTTTATTATTATTATTATTATTATTATTATTATTCCATGCAAACGCATGCTCGGAGACCGTTCCTTTTACACGCCCACGTAACTTCGTTCGATTAAGCACGCGAAGCGCAAACCGCGAGGTGCGACCGACTATGGAACGACGAGGAATAAAAAACCTTCGGCTCTTTGATCTCATTTACGTTGAAATAATTCCAATCGCTAAGAGCACCACTGGCCCGTGCGTCCATCTCCACAGAAATCTAAATTCAAAATTATAATTAATCCACCTCCCTCGAGTAACGTCCTTATTTTGTTAACTGGGCTCGTAAACCGTGACCGAAGGCCAAATCCGCTTATTATTCCATTGCCCCACCCCCGACCCACCGGGTAAAATAACGCTAATCAGGAACAAAATCAGGTCTAGTTTGGCCATGTCGACGGGCATCGATCCATCGCACTCGCATCCCCGTATTTTTAAAACGGAGAGGCTCGGGCTGAAAATGCGCTGTCGTCGTCCTACAAAGGATCCGCACTTGCCGCGAGAAGTTTATTTGTGTGCAACAATGATAAATGCCCACTCCGAAAAAAAGGCCACCCGCGCCTCTCTCTCTCTCTCTCTCTCTCTCTCTCTCTCTCTCCCTTTAACAATATAATCAATTCTCATGGATTGTGGATCGTGGGGTGGCCGGAATGACAATCGTTCGATCGTTCGATCGATCGAGCTCGTCAGCAAGTGCTCCCGAGCGCGTGGACGGGATTGCGCGTCGGATCGGCATCGCGGCCAGGATCGCCTACGCGCGTCGATCCACCCAGCCCACGGCTACGCGACTCTTTCCACTTCACGTGCTGTCGGAGATTGGTGGAACGCTGCCGCGGCCCCACCTGGCTTTATCGCCTCGCCTCCCCACCACGTGATAGAGCCGACGGGTCTCGCGTCGATCGGTCATCCGAGATGGTCGGGACTAAGAGCGGCGCCGTTATCGTCGTTATCGGGCGATCTCGAATCCCTGCGGTCCTCGCGCGTATCCGTTCCCTACGGGTATCCCCGTAGCTGACGCACGGCTTTCCCATAAATGGACCTCCTCGCGCCGCCACGTGGGAGCTCGCCTCCTCTCCTCGAGCGTCGCGTGGGCGCCGCGGGGACTTTCGATTTCGAGGTCGCCCAAGGACACGCGCGTCGCCTCTCTCCCGATCCCCGTCACGACGGCGAGCGCCACCCGGGCGAGCGACCGAGGGCTGATTCGCGGGGGAGCTCTTACGCCGTCCCCTGACGACAGCGCGCGCGCGCGCGCGCACAGCCTTGGGCCATGTCCGCTCGTAGCGTGGCTAATTACCATTTTCTAGCCGTCGTGAAAAGGACGTGGGTGTATTAGAGAACCCGTCTACCTCGGGTTTTGTCTCTGCGGCTCTTTTCAGCTTTGTGAATTGGAAGAGAGGAGAGAAGGTAAATAGGCTGAAGCGTCGCCGAGCTAGTCCAAGTTGTCTTATTAATGGACACGACACGACGGCACCTTCGCTTGATCCTACGCGTAAAGAGACGTGCACGAGGCGAACAAAAGAATGGAGAGAGGAAGCGCGGATGAGTGTGTGGCAGGAGGGTGAGGTGGAAGAGAGGCGAAAGATAAAAGAACGAACGAGCTCTTTTTATTAAAAAAAAAAAGAAAAAAAAAAAAAAAAAAAAAATTCTCGTATTTTCATCGTTTCGCCTTGTTCAAAATTTATTGTTATACTAATCTGAAAAAGACAGTTGCAATAAACGTATAATTAAACGAATGTTGCTCTCGCGGATCATCTGTGGCCGCGAGATGAGAGTTCTCGGAATTACATGAAAAACATTGTATAAATTTAGGCTCCCGATAGTCGCGGTGTTAATTTAATTTCACATAATTTTCACTGTAGATGGATGGTAAAAGGATCGTACGCAGCTGTGACGAATGAATAATTTATAAACTACGAGAATTGCTGGATTATTTAGTTTCGTTTGCTAACTTATTTTCTATATAAAGAAGCAGCTCCATTCTCTCATGAAAATTATACGGCGATCGTGAAAAAAAAAAAAAAAAATCTTGGCCTAAAAGCTCTGGACTAAATCGCCTAAAATTGCGTGAAAAGCGTCGTAGTGGGGAATTGACGATGGCACTTGTTTTACGTGGGAGGCGAATCAATTTTCGCAACAATTATTACATAAATGTTGCGATGCTCGATGCGTTGTGTTTGGAACTTAACTTTCGTGTCTTTAATAATTTTAATTAACAATTAATTCCGAACGTGGAATGACGAAGGATAAGGATGCAGGGTATATGAAGAATAAATGAATGAAACACATCATCGACTGTACAGACGTCGTTATTGTATATTTGCTGATATTGATAAGGGGACGACGAGTCGTGGCGATGACGGCCACGGATGGTGTCCAGGCACTATCGGCTGAACTGTCTGTTGTTGTTGCCGTAACGGTTGCCCACCTGCCGGAAGGTCTTGGTTCGCTCGGCTCGTCTCCTGGCGCCCGGCTGCTCCATGTTCAGCATGTTGAACTGTCCGTAGCCGCCTCCACCTAGTCGTTTGCGTGGACGAGAATTCTTGTTGTATCCCACTTCTAGGGTGACGTCGGTCTCGTTAAGGAAAATCCATTTGGCAAACTGATGCTCGGAGAGCTTGGTGGATCTCGCGCAAAAACTTGCCCTATACCCGCGCGTATCGGTGCGAATTCGTACAATGTAAATCGATCGATCCGACGTAATTTATCGATCTTCCGTTTGTGTCGATTATATGCGTGCTAGCCCCCCCCCCCCGCCACCACCACCCACAGACCAATATCCCACTACCCATCGGTATTAGTATGCAACGTTTTCCCGTGCTGAGTTTTAGTTCGACTTACTCGATCGCGCATATTAAAATGAAAATCCTTAAAGATGAAATGATTTATGGTAATTTTATTGCTAATGAGAAATGACTTTTCTATTAAAATTTGAGCATTATCGATTAAAAAGCGCAAGCAGAGAGAATCGTAAAATCGTGCCTGATATTACGTGTGGTTAAATTAAGTTTCATTAATTGTAAGAAGTGCGAACAAAAGCCAATTAGTACTTCATATCGATTTGATATAATAGTTATATGTATGGATACTTTGTTCATTAGAAGAAAGAAGAAAAAAAAAACAAAAACAAAACAAAAAAAAAAAAAGAAAAACAAAAAAGAAAGATCATTGCTCGAATTAAAAAGTTGAGAATAAGCGGAACAGTATCGACTCGTCCAAAAACTCATACTTAATTTGAAAGGACATTATCGTTAAGTTAACATTTTTCGAATTCTCGCACATTATGATGATTGACCACGTTTATTATATATGATTATTATGCTTTTAAACGCCGATTCCCACACGATTTGTCCCAAGTCGATCAATTTCAATGATACCTCGGCCGCTATAATACGCGAGCAGCAAGGACGAATATTCATTGCGATAATACATCGTTGATCGTAATTAATGGTAGCTTATAAGCAAATTTGTTTAAATTGCATAGATGGAATGTAATTTTGGTATGCCGTTGAAGAAATTCCAATAAAATCCGACTAGAAAGTGTCGGAGCAACAGATTTATATGACATTTATATGACAATATGTAGGTTGCTGCTTAGTGAATCAGACCTAAATAAATATATATTTATTTTATAAATTGAAGTTCAACTTGTAGCTAATCGCCATACGTGGTACGAATAACATTAAAGAAGACTATTTCAAAGACATTTAACGATACTCGATAAGTATCGAAGTGTTGAAGTATCGAGTAAACGAAATTGCAAATTAGAGGTGAGATTTTTCATTTCTGGTTATTTCTTTCCAAGTTTTACAAAACGTCCACATTTATATAAGAATGTCAAGGAGTAGGTGCGTTGTTTCTTTCTCTACATAAAAAGCAGCGTCAAAGAACGATAAATATTAAATAAATATAGGGCATTTGAAGATTGAATATAAAAGAGCGAATGAATAAGTCAAATGAGCACCGTAGGCGTGAATTACATTATCAAGCGAGCTTGCAGCGTCTGCATTAAAGTGATCGATGATCTACGATCTTATTCAATAAATCTGCTATCCGTTATCGATAGGGAGGCGTGGATAGGCATTACCAACACAAATTTAACGACTTACATGTACGCCGATGATGTACATTGTCGCGTTAACAATATTGTTTTTTTGCTATAAGTGACACGACCAGTCATCTGAACTATAAAGCAATTTAAAATTTCCTATCAAAGGTACGTGAATTATCGAGAGAAGTACACTGTACTCGTCCAAACTTACGATAGATGCGATGCTAGACTTGATCATTATTATTGGTTAACCAATGGCATTCGTTCAATTACGACTAATACAATTAGCAGAGTCGAATGAACTCGATCAATAAAATCAACAAAAAGATGCAGTCGATTTATCCATGAGAAAAATCTTTCTACATACATACATACATACATACATACATACATACATGTCGCTAATATCGTCGATAAGAAAGCAAAAAACAATAAAAAAATCAGCCCATTTTATATAATAAATAGGATAATTTAGAATAGAAACTGGCGTAACAAATTAAAGAGCGTGAGAGTACTTTGGATATTGAAGAAATGATAAAAATTTGTAATTTTATTATTTCACGAGTCGCGTTTCATATAATCATCTACGTGCTCGTCAAATTACTTATCAATCAATCAATCAATCAAATAAAATATATTAAGATATATGAATGGACGATATTTTAATAAACGATAATTTTAACGGTATTTGTTAATAATCCCGATTAGAAAATTTATTTAAATTTATAATCTTTCCACTTAGTCGAACTATCGCTCAACCGTAATTCAAATGCTTGCGATGCTCAATTTAGGCACAAAATACCTTTCCAAGTCTCACTATAGAATAGCAATCACTTGACATATGTATATAAGTACTTAATAAGTGCACAAATAATTCCAATATCAAAGCTAATTTGGAAAATTTAATTACAAAGAATATGTCGTAGGACAGAATGCTAGTAGATTTAAAATCTTGCCTAATTTCTCTCACTTTTATCACCGTTTTCACAATTACATAAAATGCTCGATTAATGTTCGATTATACATGGAATACATTACCATCATTATTATTAAACCAAAATAAGTGTATGAAAAATTTACGTTAGACTTAGAAATGTTGGTGCCTGTAAAAGCGAGTCAGTTTGCATTCACCTTAAAGTACACTTCCCGATAAGCAGCATTATTAAGTACTCTCAAGAAATTATGTGATAAGAATTTTGTTTTGAATCTAGAATTAATTGTTAATATTATCAGCGAGAAGATATGAAAAATGAACGAGTATGAAGCCGAGGTAACGAATATGGTCGTAAACAGGCATTGTCCCATAAGTGTATGATCGAGTATACGACGTCGTTAAACACGTAATCGAGGCGTATACGATATTTCAAGACCTTTTTTTTCTTTTCTCTCCCATCGTTTTACTCGAATGCGAACGGCTTTTCCTAAGAAATGTCGGTCGAGTACCGTCGGTAATCCCTGCGTACACTCCACCCAGTATGCAAGAGTTATATAAACATTGTCGCGCGAGTGATAAAAATTTTATAGGCATGGTATAGGCTTTTTTTTTTGTTTTTTTGTTTTTTTTCATTTTCATTCAAAAGGATACTGAGGTCGACTGCCGGTGGCACGACAAACCCGAAGGACTTTGCCACGTGGGCCAAATCCAGGGTCTCGATGTTGAAGATCTGCTTGAGATGGTGCGAGTCGTAGGCTCTCACGTACGCCTTGAACGCCTCCTTAGCCGATAAATTTAGAAAGTAATTCTTCGATATCAGCTTCTCCAGCTAAACAGTCAATAAAATTTCAAATTATACGTGCTAGGCATTTGTCATGTTGTCTTCCTACGATTACATTTTCGTAATTAAAAATTTTAATAGATTGGCGCAGAGAAGTGGCGCGAATGAATATTCACTAATAAAAAAACATTACAAAAGCCAATATGATAATGAGACAATATATTGACAACTTGAAGTAAGTGATTAAAATCGTACTGCGACAGTTTATTAATAATATAAAATAATTTAATTTAATTGCATTATTGATAGGCATTTGCGAATGAATTTATATTTCATGTATAATATACGCTGATGAAAATAATTTCACACAATATTGTAATTTAAAATTTTTAATCGTTAAAAATACAAGTCACGTTCATTTGTTAAGCAGGGAGAAAGCAAATGAATTATGAATACGCGAATGTTTCACAAATTCTTCACTTTATAAATCTCATACTACAATTTGTTTATAAAGTGATTTCATTTTTATATAAGTTTACAACAAGCAATAAGTATATATTGAAATTTAGTTGTTTTCCTGTATCATAATGAAAATGTTTATGCGTGAAAATTTGTTATTTGATTATTAATATCTAATTAATATATCGCTCTAACGTATGTCACCACTAAGCAGAAACTTATTTGATTTTATTTTGAATACGCTATTTTATATATTTATAGATTTTTTTTTTTATGTATTACTTAATTAATAATATATTGCTAATAAACCTTAGAAAAAATGCGTTTCCTATTTCTTTAAACGTAAATGAATATCATAGAGTTTTAGACTCGGGAGTAGGGTCGAGTGGGTGGGCAGGGGGAGGGGATAAATAATCTTCAAATAAAATGTTAATAAAGAAGATTGTTTTTGGGTAGTATGATGTTAATCGATCAGAGTCAATTAAATTTTTGTATTTTTTTTCTTTTTTCATTTTTTCTTTTTTTTTTTTTAATGAATTTTATATTAAAATACATATTTTTGTTAATTTAATAAGAAATGATTTTTTTTATACATTTTAGGAGTTATTGAAATTATAATCGTAATAGAATGATAGTTTTTTTCTCATTAGTTAACCGTTAAAATATTATTGCATCGATGAACTCGCAAAATCCAGAAATTTATTAAGTTCGTCATTTTCATTTAAAGTAAAAAATTCAAATGCCATTTAATTCTAACCTATATTGTTATTCTCGGCAAGAGTATTTGTTCATTCGAATTTGTAATTTCCACGCGAAATTGTTACATTAATCTATAAATAATCTTTAAATTAATTAAAACTACTTTTCTACAAATGTTCTCAAGTAATTGGAATATTTTTTATAAACTATATTATAATAAAGCTTGTTTAAACCAACAAATCAATGAATTTTAAGTTATAACGAGTAGAATTTTGTAGCAATTAAAGCATACTTTTACTTTATTACTTCTCGTTAAAATAAATAAATACTGCCATAAAAATAATATGCTTTTTAATTTCATTTCGATAAAGCAAACAATGACTGACCTAGAGTCTCAATTTTCTCTACCTTTATGTAAAGAAAAAAAAAAAAAAAACTTTAAACCTTACGCATTGTAAATTCATATAATTTACAATTACAGCAATATAAACTAAAGTGTAGTGAAAATACTGGAATATCATAGTAGTTGCAAATATCAAATATTGGTTTTCAAATTAAGGGATAAATTTAAATGAAGAACATTTTCCGTTTCTAGCTCGTTTTGTTAAAAATAATAATAATAATAATAATAATAAAAAAAAACATTCATTTCAATAAAGAGCATTTTCAAAAAGAAAGAAAAGAAAGAAAGAAAAAATTAAGATTAGATAACAACTGATTCGTGGCTCAATTCTGCATCCTGTATCGCCTTAAAAAATACTACACATCACCAACATTAGATGTTGAATCACGTATATGTATAACGAAAGTAAAATAGCCAATGTTTGAAATGTTTTTCTTTCGTAAAATTAATTGACAAAACCTGTTCGATAATTTATAATGTAAGCAAAACATAAGCAAATGTCGAAAATCGATTCCTTTAAGAATATTCTAAGTTAAGAAAATCCAATGGAGATAAATTTAAATTAATGATTGACTGACTGCGCACGTTGCATATCGAATTCCATACACTCGGAAAATTTTCAACTCTTTCATCAAGCCTTTCATTAATATTACTGGAAGAATGAAAATTTGATATATTTCCGAGATATTACGTTGTTTTTTTTTTTTTTTTTTTTTTTTTTTTTTTTTTTTTACATTTATACAATATGAAATCGAACGGAGCAGTTAAATTAAAAAAAAGACTGTCTATTAGAAAAACACTTAAACAATAAAAGATAAAATAAAAAATAAATAAATAAATAAAAATATGTAAGTAATAAGAAAATAAAATAAAATAAGTAAAAATATAAAAGGTGTGTAATCCTGTGCTACAATGAAAAAATGAAAAAGATTTCTTTGAATTAAGCGTCGTTCGTTATTTATCATAGATAGATAATCTTATTATCTCTTGAAAATATTACTTACGACTATTAAGTATTAATAACGACGCGTTATTAAAAAAAAAAAAAAAAAAAAAAAAAAAAAAAAAAAACTTTATACACAAAGAGTTTGCAAGCATTTAAGCGAAAGAAAGCGAAAAGCAAAAATTACATTCGCACTTTATCCAATCGTCTATCATACATCGAGATGATCTGTCAGTTTTTCCGAATCACATGATTTAGCTTTCATTTCGTTAAATATCAATAAATTATTCGTATTAAAACGTTGGCACGTTTAAACAATGTTAAGCAACATTTTAAGAAAAGTTTGAGCTAAATATCGCCTGAACGCTCAATTTGAGATTCTATTTGATTAATCATAAAATGAAAAGCCGACGGGTTTATGAGATCTATTTGGTCAATAGGGTGAAGAAAAAAAGAAAAAGAAAAATAAGAAAAGAAAATAAATTAAAAATACGTCTTGTCCTTTGAAATTGTGTTTTTACCACATAGGCGCTGAAAGGCGTATTGAATTAACCTTACCGACTTTGAACGAACGAATCTCGTTACATTAACGGCCGTACCACTTGTGTAAATATTAACATATAAATTATGATATATTTTCTGTGCGTCACACGGTAACGTCGTGTAACCGATTATTACATATCTGCCTGAAATTAGTAAATACCCTATTTGACGCATTACTGGCTCTCGTTGCACTTTTCATTTCAAATTTGCCTCACTCTTTAATAAAGACAAATGGCAACGACAAGCATGAATGAAAAACCGACGTTATAGGGACTTTTCAAGAGAACGTTCTCGCTTTAAAACGACATTTGGGGGGTTGGAGGTGGGGGTTGAGGGGGGGGGGACAAGCGCCAAGATTCGCGCGACATTCTTCCTTTTTCTTCGCCGTCTCCGCAAAAGGTCTCTGTGCAAATAATAGGCAATAAAAGCCGAGTTGCTTAATTAATTATCGAATATACGTGTACTCCGAGAACATGATCCAGGGCTTATTGATGCACGGCCGCTTTAAAGTCACCGATCGCTATACAAAACACGTTAAAAATCACGGAGGCAATAGGTGTTGGCCATCGCGCGTATGGCATTGTACGCGACACGGACGATTGAGAAAAAGTGTCGGCTCGAGTTCCATTCCATCAAGGATATACGAGCGCCTAGGCTACTACTTATAATCCCCGATCGTCGGGTAATAAAATCGCGCGAAAATCGTTAGAATGATTGGGTCGGCGAGGTTGGACGGGGCGAGGCGAGGCGAATCACTACGTAATCAGAATGCCCAATGAGCTTTTCTTTTAGAAAACGGCTCGTCGCTCGACGCGTTTTCATCCCGGAGCCGAGCGAGCATTGCGAGGTACGATATCAATCTAGAATGCGCTCGACCAAGATCATGATTTAAAAGCCAAGTGAAACAATGTACGATCCGCCATTGTACGTCGCCCATTGTCTTTCTCTTCCGTTCATTGAAGACGCGGACAATAATTAATCCCACCGAAATTACGTGTTTGATTGTTTTGCGCATTGTTGTGCTTTAAAAGTCCGCTTTATCGTCCATGTCACATCTGGCGCTACTTCCTGCTCTAGAAATAACGTCCCAACCTCTGATCCATCGTCGTATTCGCAATTCCCGCGCCCTTAAACGCGCCCCACTACCAACACTTCTACGAACTAGCATCGCGCGAATATTGAAGCGAACGTCCCGATCGACTTAGCTCGAACCCCCGACGACCCCCCGAATCACCGTCCCACAAAACACGCCATACCAATGACAGCGATTATGCTTTCGATGACCCGTGGCCTCGTAGTATATTCCGCGCGCAGCACTCGGCTTAAAAGTCACACAACGAACGGATTTCCATCCACGTATGCGGATGATACACGCTCCGAGGCGCGATATTTGCCATCTTAATGAATTGACACATCGGCCTCGAAGTGTCGGCTGTGCCTCTGTGTTGGCGCGCGCGCGTGAGATACCGTGTGGAGCGGCATCGCACATATTATATATCGCTGATATATGGCTGCGCGACACCGAGAAAATAGGAGTGGTTGGTAGGCCTATGTGAATGCGCGCGTGAATCATGCGCGTAGGCGGGATATTTCTTAGGCTCGGTTACGTATATGACTTTGCTCTATAGTTTATTACGATCGGCTTCGACACTTTCGTTGACCGGCATTTACGGGCTTTGGCCGCCGATCCTCTAAACGCCGTTGCGAGACGATTGGTCGGGGTTGAGGTGGCGCGATCGCCGATTCGACTTTTCTTTTTTCCCTTTTCATGCAATGCCAACCCTCGCATGTGAATACGCGCGCGCGTGTATATATATATATATATATATATATATATATATATATATGCGCGTGTATATAAAAATATATATATATACACATCGATTTGTACGTTTTAAATAATCGCTATCAAGTTTTTACTTACATTTATTTGACTCTCATTGAAAGGTACTGTTTAAGGATTAAATAGAGATTTATCGTGAATGATAATTAATTAAAAGG